AAGCAACGTTGGGCACGGTTAGTACTTGGATGGGTGACCGCTTGGGAACACCGTGTGTTGTTGACATTTTTTTTACTTTCCTTTTTTTTTTTTTTTTTATAAACAACCTAAATTACAATAAAATGATATGCGTCATTGTACGTCGCTGTTACTCATCTACACCGAATCTAAGATGCCTGTTTCGTCGATCACAATTATACTTCCTAACAAAGCAAAAAACAAAAGAATCTTGTATGTACTCTTTTTTTTTATATGGTACACTACATTTTACTGAACGGACGTAAAATACTTTGCAGAAATTAAATATATCAATTTTTAGAACAGAATAGAATTTTTAGAATTTCTAGAATAAATCAATTTTTTTAGAAGTAAAAATACATATAAAATGAAGGTTTTTTCAAGTCAACGATCATACCGCGTTGTAAAGCACCAGTTCTCGTCCGATCACTGAAGTTAAGCAACGTTGGGCACGGTTAGTACTTGGATGGGTGACCGCTTGGGAACACCGTGTGTTGTTGACATTCTTTTTACTTTCTTTTTTATTTTTTTTTTTATAAACAACCTAAATTACAATAAAATGATATGCGTCATTGTACGTCGCTGTTACTCATCTACACCGAATCTAAGATGCCTGTTTCGTCGATCACAATTATACTTCCTAACAAAGCAAAAAACAAAAGAATCTTGTATGTACTCTTTTTTTTTATATGGTACACTACATTTTACTTAACGGATGTAAAATACTTTGTAGAAATGAAATATATGCTAGAATAAATCAATTCTTTTAGATTTAAAAAGGCATATAAAATAAAAAACGTTTAAGTCAACGATCATACCGCGTTGTAAAGCACCAGTTCTCGTCCGATCACTGAAGTTAAGCAACGTTGGGCACGGTTAGTACTTGGATGGGTGACCGCTTGGGAACACCGTGTGTTGTTGACATTTTTTTTACTTTCCTTTTTTTTTTTTTTTTTTTATAAACAACCTAAATTACAATAAAATGATATGCGTCATTGTACGTCGCTGTTACTCATCTACACCGAATCTAAGATGCCTGTTTCGTCGATCACAATTATACTTCCTAACAAAGCAAAAAACAAAAGAATCTTGTATGTACTCTTTTTTTTTATATGGTACACTACATTTTACTTAACGGATGTAAAATACTTTGTAGAAATGAAATATATGCTAGAATAAATCAATTCTTTTAGATTTAAAAAGGCATATAAAATAAAAAACGTTTAAGTCAACGATCATACCGCGTTGTAAAGCACCAGTTCTCGTCCGATCACTGAAGTTAAGCAACGTTGGGCACGGTTAGTACTTGGATGGGTGACCGCTTGGGAACACCGTGTGTTGTTGACATTTTTTTTACTTTCCTTTTTTTTTTTTTTTTTATAAACAACCTAAATTACAATAAAATGATATGCGTCATTGTACGTCGCTGTTACTCATCTACACCGAATCTAAGATGCCTGTTTCGTCGATCACAATTATACTTCCTAACAAAGCAAAAAACAAAAGAATCTTGTATGTACTCTTTTTTTTTATATGGTACACTACATTTTACTGAACGGACGTAAAATACTTTGCAGAAATTAAATATATCAATTTTTAGAACAGAATAGAATTTTTAGAATTTCTAGAATAAATCAATTTTTTTAGAAGTAAAAATACATATAAAATGAAGGTTTTTTCAAGTCAACGATCATACCGCGTTGTAAAGCACCAGTTCTCGTCCGATCACTGAAGTTAAGCAACGTTGGGCACGGTTAGTACTTGGATGGGTGACCGCTTGGGAACACCGTGTGTTGTTGACATTCTTTTTACTTTCTTTTTTATTTTTTTTTTATATACAACCTAAATTACAATAAAATGATATGCGTCATTGTACGTCGCTGTTACTCATCTACACCGAATCTAAGATGCCTGTTTCGTCGATCACAATTATACTTCCTAACAAAGCAAAAAACAAAAGAATCTTGTATGTACTCTTTTTTTTTATATGGTACACTACATTTTACTTAACGGATGTAAAATACTTTGTAGAAATGAAATATATGCTAGAATAAATCAATTCTTTTAGATTTAAAAAGGCATATAAAATAAAAAACGTTTAAGTCAACGATCATACCGCGTTGTAAAGCACCAGTTCTCGTCCGATCACTGAAGTTAAGCAACGTTGGGCACGGTTAGTACTTGGATGGGTGACCGCTTGGGAACACCGTGTGTTGTTGACATTTTTTTTACTTTCCTTTTTTTTTTTTTTTTTATAAACAACCTAAATTACAATAAAATGATATGCGTCATTGTACGTCGCTGTTACTCATCTACACCGAATCTAAGATGCCTGTTTCGTCGATCACAATTATACTTCCTAACAAAGCAAAAAACAAAAGAATCTTGTATGTACTCTTTTTTTTTATATGGTACACTACATTTTACTGAACGGACGTAAAATACTTTGCAGAAATTAAATATATCAATTTTTAGAACAGAATAGAATTTTTAGAATTTCTAGAATAAATCAATTTTTTTAGAAGTAAAAATACATATAAAATGAAGGTTTTTTCAAGTCAACGATCATACCGCGTTGTAAAGCACCAGTTCTCGTCCGATCACTGAAGTTAAGCAACGTTGGGCACGGTTAGTACTTGGATGGGTGACCGCTTGGGAACACCGTGTGTTGTTGACATTCTTTTTACTTTCTTTTTTATTTTTTTTTTTATAAACAACCTAAATTACAATAAAATGATATGCGTCATTGTACGTCGCTGTTACTCATCTACACCGAATCTAAGATGCCTGTTTCGTCGATCACAATTATACTTCCTAACAAAGCAAAAAACAAAAGAATCTTGTATGTACTCTTTTTTTTTATATGGTACACTACATTTTACTTAACGGATGTAAAATACTTTGTAGAAATGAAATATATGCTAGAATAAATCAATTCTTTTAGATTTAAAAATCCATATAAAATAAAAAGCGTTTAAGTCAACGATCATACCGCGTTGTAAAGCACCAGTTCTCGTCCGATCACTGAAGTTAAGCAACGTTGGGCACGGTTAGTACTTGGATGGGTGACCGCTTGGGAACACCGTGTGTTGTTGACATTCTTTTTACTTTCTTTTTTATTTTTTTTTTTTATAAATAATCTAAATTACAATAAAATGATATGCGTCATTGTACGTCACTGTTACTCATCTACACTGAATCTAAGATGCCTGTTTCGTTGATCGCAATCTTACTTCCTAACAAAGCGAAGAAATTAAAGAATTTTGTATGTACTCCTTTTTTTCCATATGGTACACTACATTTTACTTAACGGACGTAAAATACTTTGCAGAAATGAAATATATCAATTCTTAGAATAGAATAGAATTTTTAGAATTTCTAGAATAAATCAATTTTTTTAGAAGTAAAAATACATATAAAATGAAGGTTTTTTCAAGTCAACGATCATACCGCGTTGTAAAGCACCAGTTCTCGTCCGATCACTGAAGTTAAGCAACGTTGGGCACGGTTAGTACTTGGATGGGTGACCGCTTGGGAACACCGTGTGTTGTTGACATTTTTTTTCTTCTTTCTTTTAGTTTTTTTTTTATAATTAAAGCCAGGATCAAATAATGTGCATCGTCGTACACGTCACTTACCACACTCCGTCTGCATTGGATCGAGACTAGTAACTCTGAGAGACAGATTGCAAAAAAAGCCAATCGTAAATAGTATCGACCAGATAACTCTTTTCGTTTAGACGGACGATTTTATCGTCGTACAACATTCCAGCTAAGACGATAAACTTTGTTTCATCTAATGCTTTTGAGGGAAGGAAGATTTGTACAACTAGTTGAAATAATTCTTAGCTAATGGAATACTATATTTCTTTTTTGTAATTGTTCTTTTTCGTTTATATCGCTTAATGGTTTGATTTCTATTGATACGTAATGTATATAAACGAAAAGAGCAGATCGAGCTATTTCATTTTCCTCAATTTACGTTAGACGATCTCGACCGTAAACAGTTATCGGGTAGTGGTAATAAATCAAACAACGATTTTGATCTAGAAATAATGTTAGACTCCGTATATGAGGAAGTCGATATGTCAGGATTCATAAAATGTATATCATTTCAAGAGATTAAATATCTTGAACTAAAATCATACAATTGTATATGAAAACATTCTACTTCTGATTAAACCGCAAGTTTAATGACATTTAGTTTTTCTTATAGGATACCTTATATTTTTTCAATTAATCCAATATTTTAATTATGCTTAAAAAATTATAAAACTAGTATAAGCCTAATATGTTAATAATTAACCATATTGATTTTATAAGAATAAATAAATTTTAGAAAAAATTATTAATAATTTTGTTTATAACTTTTTTTTCCAATCATATAATTAATTGATATGTATTTCGTCGAATGTTAGTCGTAATTAAAAGAAATAACTTTTATCTGAAACTATGTGATCTATCTGTTATGGTTTACTACTTATAATTTAAAATCAAAAAAATAGAGGAATTTTCAGTAGTCGATCTTATCCCCTTGGAGTGAATATGTGCAGGAAAATAAAATTGCCTAATACATATTTATATACATTCTACATATCTCGAATGTTTCATATTTTTCTGTATTTACGCTTTCAAGATTTTCCCTTGCAAATATATATTTTTGATAATCACATATTGTCACTAACGCGTACAGATCGCGAATGAATGATCCTTTATGCGAGTTTCTTTTGTCTTTAATAAAAGTCCATGTCGTGTTATGCATTTTCATTGGTTGTTTCGTCGCCATATGATTGGTCAATCGCGTATCGGTGTTGCCGCTCTTTGTTGACGGTGCATGCTTTATGACGCAACAGAACTCTATTACGTTGCAATTAAGTATTGTGAAAATGCGATTATTATTTATATTCATTGAGAAAATATTCTTTAATAACGTTAATATTAGATTTACACGTTCGTAAGAATAATTATTAGGTTAGAAACGATTTTTTCAGCAAATTATTGGATAAACGTACCTTTTCCTACATCATTGAATTTACAATCGATTTGATCTATGCTATCTCGTAGAGAAAAGTTAAACGATAATAAGAAGATAACCTTAAAATGTTATTTGATAAAAACTAGGTAACCTTGATTTTTTATTATAAAAATAGTATCATTGGAATTTTTATTTTGTTTTTATCCTTTTTTTTTTATTTTTGTATTTTTGTAATTTAATTGACGATCGACCAACGAAGTACTGTAGGTTTATGATGTGAATACAATTTTTCCCCTTATAACTTGGTTATGTTTCAATTCATATTTAACAATTATTACATTTAATAATGAAAGGTGTTGAAGGATTGTTTAAGAAAATAAAAAAATTAAGGAAATCGTTACTACAGTACTTATTCTTTTATTTTAGAAGTTGCCAGTGAGGTTAGGATTAAAAATTCACTGAATACATCAACAATGCAAACTTCTGTATTTTCGACTTTCTCAAAAATATTTCTTGTAAAGTCTGATGAAGTGTATTCAAATAAGATTACGTAAGTGATGAAAATATTAATATAATTATAGATTCCAGTTTTCTTAATTTGGTATTCAACGACTTTTTAATTTACAGTTTGCAGTTTGGAGGAAAAATAAAAACATCACTGAAGATGTCATTAAAAGAAATGTATAAGTTTTTAATGTTTAACAATTTCTCTTTAGAAATTGTAAAAGCCATGAACAATTGGATAACAACAAGGATAATGAAAAGAATGGAAACAAGACTTTGACTGAGGAAGAAAGAGTTGTCTGAGACATTATTTTTTGACAGAAAGATTGTCTTCCATAAACAATGCCATTGATTCCAAATTATTATGGTCATATTATAAGATACTATGAATATGATCTGGATGTTATTAAAAAAAGCTGCATGTACAATCTTCTTGCATATAGTTTTAACAGATGACAAGCCACTTCAAAACTTTTCTTCAATGAATTGGTGTAATTATAAAATAGTTGGAGCAGAGCTATATTTACAAGAATTCTTTACCCGAGGCTGTTATATTGACTGTGAGGTTAGTTTACAGAGATTTGATGAATTCAGATCTAGTGAAGAAATGTCTTGCAGAGAAAGCACTATGTTAATGAATTGTTCAATAATGTTATATGAAAAAGAATATCAAAAAATATACTTGAGGAGTCTCACCTTGAAGCTTGGAATATATGTGATTCTGTCATTCTATTTAATGATGATAATTCAGGCAGATTGGAAGAGATAAGGGATAAAATGGTCATACTAAAGGAACTGAGTCAAAAGTAAGTTGATAAAAGCAAAACTACAATTTTAAATATTGTCTACAAAGGCAAGATCTTTGAAAAGATAAAATAAAATTCATTGGGTTAATACAGAAGTATATAAACATTACAACGGTGGATGGTTTTAATTGTTTTTTTTTTTTTTTTTTTTTTTTTCTTTTTTCTTTTTATAAAGTAAGTTTTTATTTAAATTATTCTTTAATCACAATTTCTTCATTCTTTCAAATAAATGAACTGTTCTCTCATGAACTATTTAAAATTGACTCTTGATTTTTCAAGAGTTTATTCTTGTGATATTACAATTAAATAATAATAATATTATATTAAAATAGTAGAGATATCGATAGAGAAATATGTAATTAAAAATTATTATAAAAATATTTCAGATAAAAATGTAAAGAAAAATAATAAGATTTAAAAAGGTGGAAAAAATTTTTTCTTAATTTCTATTGTTGATATTTCAATGAAACTAAATTCAGTAAATTCAAAGTTAGTTCAAAGTGAATTCATAAAGCATATATAAATAATCTGTGAAAATTTCATTAAGTTGGATGCAACTGTTCTTGAGAAAATGATTAATAAATTTAGTATTAATAATTTATAATACTCCTCTTAACGTTTTCTATGTTGTGCTATTACTTTTTCCACATTTCCAATTTGAAAATGTGTGTATGTATGTATGTATGTGTGTGTGTGTGTGTGTGTGTGTGTGTGTTATGGCTGAATGATTAAGACGGCTACTATTTATAATGCTCAGTCATTATGAATAATGACCAACAAATGTTTACATTATAATAAATTTAAATTTACTTATCATATTCTCATAATTTGTCACCTTAATGGATCTATGTAAATACTGTTATCATCTATTCAGACAGAACGTATTGTGTTTAATATTGAATTTTGAATATTAAATGTGGCAAGTAGTTAATCGTGTATAACAATTTTTATTTTGTTTTTTTCATCGGTATGAAACGTTTTAATATTATCTCAAAAAAAGGAAAAAAAAGATAGTCTTGATTTGAATCGTGTATGTTACGATTTATTTCATTTTATTGAAAGTGACGGGTAATTTGTATATATTTAATTTATTATTCAATTTAATTAATTTATTAAATTTACTTTTAAATCCATTTTCATAAAAAAAATTAAATTTTTTAGTCCAATAATTAAATTAACTGTAACTCATATTAATATTAATTAAACTATATCTTGACTTGAATTATTTTACTTTATTAAATTTTATAAATTATATTTCTATCTAACTTAATTAAATATTAAAAACAGCAATACATAAATTTAAAATGAAGTATATCTTATCGTGAATCATCAATTACTATACAGGTTTCCTCTAAATCTTACTGTAGTGTTAAAAACAAGTCTGTTATTTATTGAGTAATTATTTTTGAACATCTATATTTCTAATAAAATATTACTTCATAATATAATATGATAAATCTTAAAGACAAATCTGATCAAAATATTCATTATTTATTTTACAAAATATTTATTATCGATTAATAAAGATATTGATCAAATAAATAAAAGTATAAGAATAATTTAGAATTATGGGAATAGCATGTCTAGATCCGATACCATCTAATTAGTTTCTTAACACGTATCGTGCCATGTGTACCACCGGTGGTACACGCAGTTATTTTTTTTCTTTAGTCAAAGTATCAAATGGCCTGAACGACAAGTCAGGCAAAAATGGCATAATACGGAACGTGTTAAAGTGATTCTAAAATCTCTGAAAAGTACGATAAACAATTGATGTAAAAAAAAAGTTATTGGTGTTAATATTCCATCCTTTTAAATAGTTTTCTGTAATAAATTTGTTACAGTAATCAATAAAATATATGAGCCGTTTATTTTGAAAGTGGCCTAACTTCATTTATCTTCAAATCGAGATATTTAAGGGTTTGCGTTTCAATGAATTTAAAAATATACGTATAGGATACTTATGAGTCATACTACTTAAGTGTATTTAAGGGTGTTTAATTTATAGTTTCTATTAAAATAGTGGCAATTATTAAGTGAACAATATGCGTTTTCTTATCAAGAATGAAGTTAGGCCACTTTCAAAATTAACAATCAGATTCGTTATAAAATTTGAAGGTGCCCAAGTCCATTCAACATAATTTAAGATGCTTCAAATTGAAAAAAGACAATACTCAATTTATTTTACATATCTTTAAAACACTTCAAAAACATAATTAATGCGATTCAAAATATTTTTTAACTACATAACGTACAAAATTACAAACATAAATTTATTACAAAACAATTTACTACTCATTTAAATTTTGTGTGTGTGAAAAGGATTTGAAGAAATCATGATGTTCTGGTGGTATATATCGTAATAGGTCAATTATGTCCTTGAATTTTGCTGTTGTAATTTGTCTGATATTTTTATACAGTGGTGTCAATACAATATTTTCGAACTTTCTTGGTCTACCCTTACGTGATAATAAGTTCAGAACTTAAAAATTTTTATTTTCATTCATTGATTTAATTATAAATGGAGTTAGGCCACTTTCAAAATAAACGGTTAAATTATTGAACTAACTCTGAAAACTTATGTATCAAGAATTATCGTATTTGCTCGGAATATAAGCAATCTGAAATGCTTTATTGATAAATAAGATAAAGTTATACATGTAATTATAGCAACCGGAAAAAATTGACAAATGTAGTTAGGCCACTTTCAAAATAAACGGCTCATATGAGAAATATTATTTTTTTTTTATAATATGAGCATGTTATTTGAAAAATATTTAAAAATAATTCACAAAAATAAATAATACTTAATGAAAATATTAATAATTAATAAAAGTAAATAATGATCCATTATTCAATTTGACCATATTACATATACGCGCGTGCATATTGTCTTTTTTCTTTTTTTTTTTTTTTTTTTCTCTCGAATTAATCGCAACGATCATAATCGATCTTCTGGTTATTCAAAGAAATAATTAGAAACAGTAAATATTAGAATAAAACATGTGTGAAAAATAATTAAACGTTCCATTTTAATCTTCTTAAAAAGACATTTGAGTTTACTTAGTATGGATGCTTTGACATTGAATTAATAGAATTATCAGTGTAATTCTAAGAGCGAATTAAAAAACATTTGTTTAAAAGAGAAGAAAAAAAGAAAATTAAAATCAATAAATATGATAGAAAAATAGAGAAGTTTTCTATGTTTATGTTTACGATTACTATTATGTTTACAGATTAATTTGGAAAAGTGGAAACGATGGAAGTGTCATTAAAAGAGATTGAACAAGAAGTGTCTTTTAAGAACGTCAACAATCATTTAGGAAAAAAGTAAAATTCCAAATCCATTTAGGAATTTTATTATGGCCAAAGTATATTTATAATCTGAGGAATAAACTTTATTGGAAAATTATTGATCGAGAAATTGTTGAGAATATATCCCGACATCAGCTGCATTTATCTTTTGATACGTTCAAAAAACAGGAAGAATGTGTTGATTGTTGACGAGAACTTTTTTGAAAATGCGTTTCTCGCACTGGACCAGCGATGACAGTCGATTCGCACGGAGGAAATGTCCGCCGTCTTGTCCTTGTTGTCTGAACTATAGAGATCCAATGGTCGCGATGAATAAAAGGCAGCGACACTAGGCTAGAATACCGTTGTAGGCCATCAGCAAAATACCGCTTGCCGCGTTCTCGCAAATTAATGGGAGAACGTGCGTTTTTTCAAAGGATCCCGTGGGAAATGGAGAAGTAATTGCGATATGTAAATCTCACCGTGTATTTCATTGGATGAGTTACAATTGTTTGTGTGTCTCTTATATGATGCATAGTTAGCCGAACTGATTGCTTGAGAGCTTAGATATTGTGAGTCTGAAAGATGGAACTTGACTCCTCAGATGTTGTGAGTCTGAAAGATGTAATTTGACTGCCTTTTTGTCTATTTTGAACTATCCACGTAAACTTAAATGAGATTGGTATAGGGCGGAGTTATGACCTATGGAAAGGGAAAGAATAAATGTCCCATTGGTCGGAGATAGTTCGTTGGAATGTTTGAACATTCCATGTGTGCTCCTATGTTCTAATGATCGTGATTGGAGTATGACAATGGATATTTCAAGGATAAGCGCAGATAGCACTTAGCTTATCGAGCCTAGGCTTCTACTTTTACTGTTTATTTATTGGCCGAATCGACACATTATCGAAACCCAGGTACTTTACTAAGAATGCCTAAGTTCAGACAAAGGTGGCCATGTGTTTCTTATCTATGCGTTTTGTTTAACCGATAGGTTCCCAAGTATAACTGTTTCCAATGGAGTTATATGATCCTTAAGAGAAAGTACCGTGAACAATGGAGAGATGCACATGTACGTCAACGCAAGGAAAAATTCATTAAAGATTTCGTGAGTTCTTTACTTGTGATTCAATTATTGTTATTTCTATATTGTTATTTCATCCTTATTCAATTTAAAGGTTCTTTATTTTCTTGTCGTATATATTTCTTTGATTTATTTTCTTGCAATATATATTTTGTTCGTAAGAAAAAAATATAAGTCAAATTTACTACTAGACTTTTGTCAAGTAAAACTTATACAAAATTACTTTTTTATAAGTTTTATACAAAAGCACTTATAATATAATCAAATGTTAGATTATGGATCATGATATATATATATATATATCGGTTCATTGAAATTAAAAAATATACGTTATAATTGTTTTGAAAGATTTTTTTTTTTTTTTTTTTTTTTTTGAATGACGACATATTTTTACCTAAATTTTCATCTTGATTTATATTTATTTGATAAAGAATGAACATTCGATGTAGCTAAACTTTGTGCTTATGTTATTGTATACAGTGATACATATTACAAAATACTTAACAGTTTAATGTATGTATATAATATATTAATGTGTAATCGTTAAACGATTTAAATATAAGTACACACGTATTATACTTAAATTAAATTTTAAACAAAGAAACAAAATAATACAATTTAATTTATATCGATTTTTGGACATATATTATTAAAATCTCAAATAAAATAATAAGAAAGTTCAATTGATTTAAACATTGTAGTTACTATAAGCAAAGTTACAATATAAAATATATTAGTATTCTGATTCCATTATTTTGAAATTTTGACATATACATTTGATCAAAATTTGACTTATATATTTTTCTACCCAAATTCAAGGTTTAGTATTTATTATTTAGTATTTAATAAATATAAGAAGAAGAAAATTAATACATCAATTATTTTTGTCTTGTTTAATGTTGAACGTATAAAAAGTAACAGAAACTTGTTTTCCTTGAAATACGTATTTATGATACTAAGTATGTATACATGGCTAGGAAGATTAACAGCTATTTCAATGTACATTTTTCATTTATTTTCCACACTTAAAAAGAAGGAATCAAGATTTCAATGTCGTATAATCACAATCGAAGGCGATTGTAACTTACAAAATCTCGGTATCTCGATAATACCAATGAGACAACATAAAATGTATTCATTAATTTTCATGTCACGACGACCGTGAGATTTAATGAGAAAATAAAATCGGTTATAGCTATTAACGTTCGAAGTCTGAAAGATACGATAAATTTATCCAAGGAAATGTTAAAAACTGAAGCTACGAACTATGCTTTTACATACATATTTATATTCGTAATCTTTTTTTTTTTTAACACATTCTTCATCGGCAAACTCGTGATCAATGCACTTTTGTTTCGCATTAGGGAAAATATTATTATCACATCCAATTACGAAATAATGTAAGATAAATTTTGAGTAAAATTGTTGATCGACAACGTATATTGAATGAAATTTCTATAGTATGAGTAAGTCGTCGACGAGGTAAATGGAAATGAAATGAAAAAAAAAAAAAAAAAAAAAAAAAAAAAAAAAAAAAAAAAAAAAAAAAAAAAACAGATATAAAAGAGTAAGGTATACTGAGGTAGGAAAGAGAGAGAGAGAGAGAGAGGGTGGGGGGATGAGGGAGAAGGAGGAGAGAGGGATGAGAGGGAGAGAGAAGGAGAGAGAGAGAGAGAGAGGGAGCGAGAGAATGAATAAATATTTCGATTAGTATTTGTAATAAAATATTAATACATGATATAAATGGTCATTATGAATAATTAACTCTTAATGATCCATGGGCTCCGTTACGGAGACATCAGTCATTTGTTCCATAACACTGAACGCTCCGCTTGAAGGAGCCGAATGTTTTTAGCATGTGATTATCCTTGAAATGCTACGTTAGCTGAAGAATTAAGAAAAATGAAGTGCCACTTGACTGGTACCATAAAAACAAACAGAAAAGGTATTCCAACAACTCTGAAGAAACCAAAATTGTATGAAAAAAGGACTGTCGCATACAAACAAGGAAATACAATGATCTTAGCTTGGAGGGATAAGAGGATAGTATCGTTATCGAGCAACTAGCATAATGCTGAAATGATAACTATTAGAAGATTTATACGAGGTGGTACAAATGAAATAATTAAAAAGCCAAGTGTAGTTGTCGGGTACACAAAGTTGATGGGTGGAGTTGATTGGACTGATCAGTATGCCTCTAATTATTGCTTTTTGAGGAAATCGCTTAAATGGTAGCGGAAATTGTTTTTCTGGAGAATTGAAATATCAATAATTAATTCATACATTCTCTATAAAACTGTACAGCACAATAAAAATGTGAAAGCATTGACGCAGTTACAGTATAGAAAAATTTTAGTCGATCAACTCGTAGGAGATTTTCGTCACGATAGAACAAGAGTTTTTACAACAATTTCTGAAATCAGACTAAACGGAAAAATAATTCACATAATGAGAAAAGGTGCAAAGAGGGACTACGTTGTGTACTCTAAAAGGAAACAAATGGATGGCAAACGTCAAACAAGTGATTACTGTGACATTTGCCCAAGTAAACACAGAATGTACATGGGAGATTGTTTCCAAAGATATTACACCATGGTGAATTACAAAATTAAAAATTTATCTTTTATTTACAATAGGACAATGCATATTTATAAAATAAATAAAATAAAATCCATTCATAAGGACGTGTAATCTTTTCCGCTCAAAATAAGACTTCCTTTATCTCAGGCGCTCCGCTCCAAAAATGTGCCGGAGTCGTTGATAGGCAGTACTCGAGAAAAGGTTACAATATCATTCATATCAGAAAAAAATCTATCTTCATAGAGCTTTATTGCAAACTTTTCAAATTTCGCTTATGTGACGACAACGCTTTTGATATATTTTTTATACTCGTTCATCGCATTTAAAACTCTCTCTCTCTCTCTCTCTCTCTCTCTCTCTCTCTCTCTCTCTCTCTCTCTCTCTCTCTCTCTCTCTCTCTCACTCACTCACTCACTCACTCACTCACTCACTCACTCTCTCTTTTAGATTCAAATGATCTCCTGTTGTCACTCGCAGATACACACGAACAATAGGTAGCCACATTTTCGGATAGAGTAAACAGAAAAATTATTTGTGAAACCAAGATATATGCAAAACAAAAATTGGAAGGGAAGATACTACCTGCAAATATGATATGGCGAAGTTGGCGTGATATGAACAACGCAGAATTCTGGGCATTTATTGCTGTTATAATTAATATGGGCACAATGCCATTGGCCAATTTGCAAAAATATTGGTCGAGGAATATCGTCAGTTATATTTCTTTCTATTCGGATACATTTACAAGAGACAGATTTAGTCTGTCTCTGGATGCTGAATATTTTGGATGCTTTATCTGAAAACTATTTCAACACATAACACGAATCCGAGAACGCGTCTACAACGAGTAAGCTACTTTTAGGACTATATCAATTCAGAGTTTTTGGATTATTTTATACCGGGTGAGCATATATGTGTGGACGAGTCAACGATAAAATTCAAAGTTCGAATTTCGTCCATAACATACAATCCTAAGAAACCGACAAAATTGGGTATCAGAGTTTATACTCTAACTTTACTCTTTAACCCTTAACCCTTTCGGTACGAAGGATCTGGCCGCGGTTATACATTCGTAGAACGAGGAAGTTTTCCGCGAGAGTGGTTGCACTGTACGACAGCGTAAGCCGCAAAAACATGTTTTGCGACATTCATAGAAATCTCGAGCGTGATTGACACTAAAAACTTTTCAGTCAACGGTGACTGACGCGAAATTTAACGTGTTTGAAAAACACGTTTCTAAAATATTTATACTGCTTTGTCGTAACCTAAACCAATTCTCAGCCGAAAACCGATTTCGACGGAATCTTATTTCGCAAATCAGACGAAAAGACAGACAAAACATGCATGCCGTTTAACGTTTTAAAATCATATCTATTTCTTCACAGTACATTAATTAAAATAAATGGCATTGATATAAATAATATGTTCTAATATCACAAAATTAAAATAAATAACGAAACTAATAATGTAATATAATAAATAATAAAAGTAATAGTGTAATATAATCTACGACAAAACTAATACTGTAACTTGGTGTGATAGTTTTCGAAACAAGGGGAAATGCACAAGCCCACATTACATTGTTCACAATGATATTTGGATTCACGTCTTATACCACCAGCCGTACATACAACGCATCTTCGTTTCCGATTTTTTTTCCCCGACTCATATACCGTAGGAAAATGTTTCCCTATGAGCCTTGTGGGATAATTATTTTCTGATCCATTGTACTGATGATATTCATGATTCTTATGATATTCTTCTAATATTTCCTTAATTAATTGAAGGTGAAATTTCGCCATTGAGATTTGTTCTTCTGTGATGTGCTTATACAGGCAGAATGCGTTCCACACGCAAATGTCGATCAAGTGGAAAAAATATTTGCGATACCACTTTAAACTTTTGCAAGTTGCATCGACAGTACTTATCGCTATATCTGATTTATCGATTGTATCCATTGAAGAGATATAATCTATTACGCATTTTGGCTTTAGAATAATTTCATTTTTTCTTGACTTCTTAGGTACTTCTGCAAATTCTGCGGTATGAATAGTGGAAAGCATATAAAATTCCTTTCTATGACACCATTTCATTGCCAATAGATTTTCAGATGAGCGGAACACTGCCTCTCCTTTTTTCAATTTATCAGTTATTTTAGGTAACTCTTTCTGTCTTCTTTGCACGGTGCCACAAGCGTTCGTACTATTTTTGTGAAGTAGATTGAACAATATGGGACTGGAAAACCAATTGTCCAGATAAATAGTATGGCCTTTGTTTAGAAAAGGTTGCAAAAGTGACATTACAATGTTCCCTGGCTTTCCAATATATTGATATTTGGTAGCTATAGTAGTACCAGCCTTACAATAGATGATTATATCTTGGATATAACCCGTTTTACAATCACAAAGTAGGAATGATTTTATACCAAACCTACTGTTTTTCGAGCGAATATATTGTTTAAACGAGAGACGGCCTTTGTAAAGGAGTAAACTTTCGTCTATACATAATCGCTGGTATGGCTGAAATGCATTGTTAAATGATATTCGTAACATTTCCACTACTTTATTTATTTTGTATAAACGATCAGCAGTGCGGCTGGTTTTGTCCGAAAAATGTAACATTTTCAATAATGAAAAGTAACGATCTTTACTCATAATTAGACTGAAAATATCACTTCGAAGAAGCTTATCCTCAGACCAATATTCCTTTAAGGATAGCTTTTTGATTCGCGTCATTAATAACGACGCAGCAATAAAACAATATAATTCATCCACATCCATCTCTTCTGAAGCGTCCAATTGATCCCTTTTGAGCTGTCGACACCAGTAATTGTTTGTTCTTTCCACAATAAATTTAACTAAATCTTCAGAAAAAAGTAGTCTGAAGTAATCCAAAATTTTCGACGAATGATTTAAATTGTCCCCTACTACTCCAGAATGATGTGACGTAAAATCATGAATTTTTGGACTAGGCTTCTTTGATGTCCATTTGATGCTAGAGGGAATATCAATTTGTAGTTCAGGCTTTTCTGTTTCTTCAGATTCCGAGGTGCTAAGTGTAGGATTGTACCTCCTCCTTTTGCGACGTGCTGAATTATATTTATTTTCTTTATCAGAATCATTTGTGGAATCAATGATTTCCTTTATACATTGTTCTTTTTTCACGCGTTTTCCACTCATCCTAAAGGGAACTAAATTCAAATTGTAAGTTATACATTCAAAAAATTAATGATATAAGGAAACATACCAATTTGTTTTTCGTAGCTTATTTATATATTATAAAACATATTTATATAATTAAGGCACGCTGTTGACTGTTAGTAATTATATATTATAATAGAACGATTAGAACAGCCGTGAATTTTAAACACAGAATAGTAAAGTAATAATGTGTACTATAGAGAGTAATCATACCCATATAACTTTCCGTTAGTGCCGCCAATTGGCGGCGGTAGGACCCAGAGAAAGTTTAATATATGCCGCCAATTGGCGGCGGTAGGACCCAGAGAATGTTTGGTGGATGCCGCCAATAGGCGGCGGTAATACCGAAAGGGTTAATGCTCCGCACGTTTCTCGAGTACTGCCTAGCAGCAACTCCGGCATTGTTGCAGTACTCGAGCTTCATTTTTGGAGCGGAGCGCCTGAGATAAAGGAAGTCTTATTTTGAGCGGAAAAGATTACACGTCCTTATGAATGGATTTTATTTTATTTATTTTATAAATATGCATTGTCCTATTGTAAATAAAAGATAAATTTTTAATTTTGTAATTCACCATGGTGTAATATCTTTGGAAACAATCTCCCATGTGCATTCTGTGTTTACTTAGGCAAATGTCACAGTAATCACTTGTTTGACGTCTGCCATCCATTTGTTTCCTTTTAGAGTACACAACGTAGTCCCTCTTTGCACCTTTTCTCATTATGTGAATTATTTTCCGTTTAGTCTGATTTCAGAAATTGATGTAGAAACTCCTTGTTCTGTCGTGACGAAAATCTCCTACGAGTTGATTGACTAAAATTTTTCTATACTGTAACTGCGTCAATGTTTTCTCATTTTTATTGTGCTGTATAGTTTTATAGAGAATGTATGAATTAATTATTGATATTTCCATTCTCCAGAAAAACAATTTCCGCCACCATTTAAACGATTTCCTCAAAAAGCAATAATTAGAGGCATACTGATCAGTCCAATCAACTCCATCCATCGACTTTGTGTACCCGACAACTACACTTGGCTTTTTAATTATTTCATTTGTACCACCTCGTATAAATCTTCTAATAGTTATCATTTCAGCATTATGCTAATTGCTCGATAACGATACTATCCTCTTATCTCTCCAAGCTAAGATCATTGTATTTCCTTGTTTGTATGCGACAGTCCTTTTTTCATACAATTTTGGTTTCTTCAGAGTTGTTGGAATACCTTTTCTGTTTGTTTTTATGGTACCGGTTATGTGGTACTTCAGTTTTCTTAATTAACGTAGCATCTTAAGCGTAATCACATGCTAAAAACATTTGGCTCCGCAGCTGAGCCTTCGGAGTTAGGGAACAAATGTCTCCGTAGCGGAACCAACGGAGCGTTAAGGATTAATAAATATAACACGATTCCCATACTTCATAGGAACATTGACATACTCTTTCGCAAATTCTAATCATTTCTTTCTATTTACTTCATTTACGAAATATTTTCTACGGGCTACTCTGCCATGGTATTCTGGAATTCGTAAAACATTACGCACTGTACTACTGCACACATTAATTATCAAGATTATTTTTAAGTTTAGTAGCGATGTTAACCGCACATATCTTCCGATTTTGTTTTATTTCTTGAATTATTTATTGATCAGTTTACTCATTTATTTTACGTTTACGTTCGTTTCATGGATTACTTTTTAAAATTTTTCGATCTCCATATCTGTCAATGATTCTATTTACTATCTTAGAAATTTCATTGAGTGTTCTACATTTATTAGAAAAATTTATAATAGTTTTCTTTTCTTTTTCAATGGTTTCCTTACTTTTTCATTTCATGAAAAAGTGTATGCGACAGTCCTTTTTTCATATAATTTTGCTTTCTTCAGAGTTGTTAGAATACCTTTTCTGTTTGTTTTTATGGTACCAATCAAATGGCATTTCATTTTTCTTAATTCTTCAGCTAACGTAGCATCTTAAGCGTAATCACATGCTAAAAACATTTGGTTCCGCAACGGAGCCTTTGGAGTTAGGGAACAAATGATAGATGTCTCCGTAGCGGAGCCAACGGTGCGCTAAATCATGGTTATGATCCGGTAAGAAAAAATGAAGTTTAATCTGATCTAATAAAAGAAGAAAACTAATCCGGTTTTATGCGGTAGTTTCTTTTTTTTCAAGATGATTAGATTATACGATTATCATATAATTATTACAGTCATATATTGAATATGAGCTTTTTTAGATGCGGTTGAATCGTGAATTAATGAAGTATGTTTTTTGTCGATGTCGTAACAAAAAAAAAGGAAAAAAAAAAAAAAAAAAAAAAAAAAAAAAAAAAAATTAACGTATCTTGTTCAAGTAAAAAATAATATCTGCGTTTGTAAAGCATTCTAATTGAAATTTTTTGCTTTTTTAGTGATTTTTCTTAATTCCAGATTTTCCTGAATTTATACTGAATATTAATTTTTGCAAAACAATCGTAGAATTAATATTATGTTAATTATGAAATAAGATTAGAATTAAATGACATATGACTATTGTTTATTAGCAATGACTTTGTATTGTGTTATATTTTTTCTGTTTCTTTTTGTTCTTCTTTTTCATGGATTATCTCGTAATTTCCAAAGCCACGAAAAAAAAAAAAAAAAGATTTCTTCCATCGTTCGACATTTCGTTTCTGTTTCAAAATTTTTATTCTAATAATAAACCGTATAGTTTTACCTTGACATTTTAAAAGGCACGATTATTTTTAATGCAGAAAAAAAAATGACCATAAAGGATAATTTTATTTTTATGGAAAACAATGATTTCAAAGTGTACACCGTATATAATACTACGAGAATGTGGATATTACATAAAACACACTAGCATATATAAAAACTCCTTTTCACTCTCCAGATTATAATTCGATAGAACGCACTTATGGCATTACTTGAAATGTAAAATTACAAAATACAATATTTCTTTTTAAGTGAATCTAAAAAAAATTCTCTCACGAAGAAATGCAATGAGGTTTAGTCCAGTGTACATCATCAAATTTAATTAATTCATTGCCTGAAAGAATTGTTGCAATTTTAAAATAAAAAAAAAAAAAATAAAAATAAAAAAAAGAAAAAAAAAGAAAAAGAAAAAAAAATCCTACGAAGTATTAATTAAACCGCTTGATTTAATTTTTTATCGTCAGATTAGTTTAAGTTACGTACTTTTCTTTTTTTCTTTTTTCTCTCTCTTTTCTTTTTTTTTTTTTTTTTGATGAATTTTTCAAAATTCAGCAATTGTATGAATGCTTATTCCTTTCATATATATTTTTTTTTTTATCGATTTTTTGTCTTTTCTTACTAATTTGCTAAATTGTTTGTAATTTTGTTAATTAAAATAACTAATGTTTTTTTTTCTTTTTTGGACTATATACTCTAGAGATTTGCGAAAATATGTACCAATTCATTACTTACAAAGAATTAATTAATAAACCACAATTTCATGAACTACACACTAATTAATAAATTACAATTTCACATAACAATTATTTCAAATTGATTAGCGTATATGAATATTTTCTATACTCATTTTATATAGATTTAAAAGTAACTATTTTTAAGAAACACAAAAAAGTACGATATTTCAAGGAAGAGACAATAAAGTAAATAAAAGATACATGATGATCCATAAGAAAAATAAAAAAAATCATTAAACGATCGGTTAAACTGTTAGTTCGATTATTTTATTTCGTACTTTTGAAAATATTTTTATACGTTATTACATGAAACATTTTTTAATATATGTTTTTTAATTTATAATCAATCTTAGAAATTTAATATCTATACATTAAATATGTAAGAATATTCGTAAGCTTTGGCTTTAAATATCGTAAATGTTTATTTAATTTTTTTTTTTTTTTTCCAGCATAATTTAATTATCTAACTGTACGTTTTGTAGCAAATTTTAATACAAAATATCACAATTTTGATTTATGGTAATAACAAATTAATAATTCTTAGTTTTAAGAAAAATCATTTAGACAAAAGAAAAAAAACAAACCAAGAGCTACGTACAGAAGTTACCATTATGTATTAAATTAAAACTATATCAGTTTTTATATAAATCAAATATTAATAATCTGTCATAAGATAATTTAGATTTATATTATCGAAAGATGTCATAGATAATTACTTTCGAGTAAATTAATTCAGATTTAATTGATTTTGAGATAAAATCTTTTTGTCAAATCAATATAATCAAAATCCTGCTCTATTATTCCATTTCTGTTTTTTGGTGTAAAAACGTGATTGATTTGAATTTAATTATTTAAAAAATGATGGTTTTATTATTAAAAAAAAAAAAAAAAAAAAAAAAAAAAAAAAAAAAAAAAACCTGAAAAAAATCAAATCACACCATAACATTTGCAATCTTATGAGTCAATAAAAATTTATTTTTTCGTAATTTCCATGTCGTATCAATGAAACTAATAAAGATTGTAACTTGGTAACAGATTTATTGAGACACCCTGTATGTACATGAACAACTATCAGAACAACTTTCAATGAACGATCTGATTTTATTTGATGTTCATTATTTTTGTCATTATAGAATTTCATTTAGATATCAAAATCATGCCAATTATCTTTACGATTCAATCAATGAGAAATTCTATGATTGATCCCGACATCGATTTCGTGAAATGTTTCGACGAAAAATTGCTCGAAAATACTACATCGCAGTAAGTTTTCATTTCATCAATCGTCGAACGGAATTACGTATTAGTTTTCACGTTTATTAATTGAATATGTAATTGAAGGAAATGATGACATAGTTTAATTATTAATATGGATGAAGGAGATCGAGGGAGTGGAAATTAGATAAGTGGGATCAAAAGTTATTGAGTGTTTTTTCCTGTTTTTTTTTTATTTTTTTAATTTTTTTTTTTTTATCGTTTTGTTAGTTTAATATCAATAATTACTCTCTTCCGTAACTTTTATGGCTCTAATTTTTTTGTTAGGATTGTGCCTAAGAACTTTTGATTCTCTCTATACTTTCGATTATAATACTTTTTCGTAATTTCGATTATTTTATTTTTTTTTTATAATTTTCCGTGGCTGAGGTGATTATTATTTTATTAATATCATTAACGATTAATTTTTAATGATTTATTTATTTTTGTTTTTTTTTTGACCTTTTTTAAACTTTACTGGATGTATCAATCGT